AATTGTTTTTAAGGTCAGTGAACACGAATATATGAATATGTGCCCCCCCAATTATCGAGTTTGCTACGCCACTGTACAATTATGTTGTTGTTATCCAGGAAGGTATTTAGTTGTCTACAGACTAATTTCTCAAATATTTTGGCGATATTCGAAATGACTGATATCGGTCTATAGTTTTCACATAAGGTTTTGTTTTCTGACTTATATATTGGAGTCACTTTGGCAAATTTCCAATCATCTGGAAATATTCCTGTCCTAAGAGATAGGTTAAACACTTCTAGAAGTGATTCAGTTATTGTATCGCCTGCCTGTTTTATTAGCTTAGTTGAGATCTTATCTAGACCTGTAGATTTTGCCATTTGCATATTTTGTATTTCTCTTTTCAGCTCATAGCTTGATATGCTATGAAAGTGAAATACATTTGTGACTTGGTCTACAGGGTGTATAAAAAAAAACGCAACCTCGGAATTTCCTAAGAAATCACTTTGCAATGCTTAAGCATAAAAGATTTAAGGCCCCTGGGAATTGAAATCGAATTGCTAATAGATCATATTACTGTTGTTGTGCATTAAATAAATGCATAAATTTTGCTTTATGCACTCGCGTATGCAGTAATTTTGACAGTTGTGCTATTTTAAGTTCCCAGGCGCCTAAAATCTTTTGTCTTCAAAACAATGTCGATTTCTTGGGAAATTCCGAGGTTGCGCTTTTTTTGATACACCCTGTATATATGACAAAGGATCAGGACTACAGCCATTGTCAGCAATGTTATTTGCTAATTTGGGACCTATAGAAGTGAAGAATTTATTAAACTCGTCGACTATGGCTTTATCTTGTGTTACATTTTTTCCATGGTCTACGCTAAGTTCATTAACAATTGTGGTTTTGGATTTCCTATTAAGCAGATTATTTAATGTATTCCAACCTTCTTTACTATTTTTACTGTTTTGTAGTTTAGTGTTGTAAAAATGAACCTTAGTTGCTTTAATTCTTTTGTTAAGTTCATTTCTACAACGTTTATAAGCTTCGTGGTAATTAGAAGAGTTAAATTTGACCGCTTTTTGTTTCAAGTAGAATTTATGATGCGCAAGGTTTTTTATTTCGTTTGTCATCCAAGGACAGTGCTCACTTCTGACTTTCCGAATCCGAAGTGGAGCATGCATATTTGCAATATCAAGAAAAATAGTTTTCCATACCTCCCACGCATGATTTGGTTCGGCATAATTATAGAGGTTGTTGTGTCTTTGAAATGCCATTTTTAAGTCGTATTGAAATGCAGATGAATTAAAGTATTTAAACTGCCTTGTTTCTACAATTTTTGGTTCAGCCCTAGGTATTCCTACTTTGCGGCAAATGTACACTAAACTGTGATCACTCAGTCCTAAATGTATCACTCCAGAGTCTATAATTTTGGTATCGCTTGCTTTAGTCATTATTATGTCAATTAATGTTTTAGATGTTGTCGTTATTCTAGTCGGACTTGTAATGTGTTGCTTTAGCTGAAACTCATTTATCAGATCGGATAACCTTTTTGTATGATGAGTGGGACTGTTTGCCATCATATCGCAATTTAGGTCGCCAGTGATAATAATATCAATATTTGTATCATCTAGTTTTCGCAGTAACGTTTCGAAGTCGTTTAATATGCTAGTGTTAGAATTTGGTGGACGATACCATGTAACAATTAAGAGTGGTTTTGACTTAGGTTTTTGAATTTCAAGACAAATAGATTCTAAGTTGTCTGGAATGAATTCGATATGGTTTTTATAACTAATGATACTTCTTATATAAATTGCTACACCGCCACCATTTCGATCTCGGTCTCGTCTTACAATATCATAACCTGGTATCTTAATAATATTGTCGTTAATTGTATTGTCTAATCTAGTTTCGTTTATGCAAAGAATGTCGAATGATATTTCCTTCATGAATAATTTAAGCTCATCCATGTGTTTCGGCAAACTAGTAATGTTTAAGTGGCCAATTTTAAAACCCTTTAGTTTTGGATAAGACTTATTAATTTGGAAAGGAATTTTTGGGCTTTTCGAGGTGCAGCGTGCTGGACTATCGGAATTATCTTTGTCGACTATATTATTATCGCTGTGTTTTATGTCATTATTATTGTCGTTACCTAGTCAATTCCTATTAAGAAATTGCTTTATGTTTTTTGCTAAGACTGATGTACCCTGCTTATTTAAGTGCAGTCCATAGTTATTTAAATGGTTTACGTCAGGCAATATTATTGTGCCTGATAAGACACCAATTTCGTTCTATACATAGTTGGGCTAATCCCTTGTTATATTCGTTTACCTTATCAGCCAATGTTTTATCGTCATTTCTTGTTATGATTTCTGATAAAACTAATTCAATATTCCCGTTTTCTCGAGTAATGCTCTCTCCAAGCTTTTGCCGGTACATGTGTCAACAATTCACCTGGCGTCATTCTTTGTAGATCATTGGTTCCGACGTGTAAAATAAGCTTATTTGGTGCCGTGAGTAGCGTTGGTTTTACATAGTGATTCATTTCTTTTATTCCCGCACCAGGAAATGTTTTTACAACAATTTTATGCTTCATTCCTTGTTGAATTCGTCTGCATTTATCTGCAGGTGTGATGTCATAATTACACAATCAAAACGGAGATTGTATAGGAAATAATGACTGAAGATTGATAATGGATTGTTGCGCGAACTTTTACTGTTTTCATGTATTTTACTTACAGTATTGAAGATTCTGAAAAATCCACTCAGAATCTTTACAAAATACAAAACAACGGCAATTCAGAAAAGAAACGTTTTCATATATTCAAGTTTCAACTACATATGTTTTAATCGTCATCACGAATGATACTAGGTTATATTTTACAAGTGAGGAATTACAGAGTAATTTGATATACATACACATACGTATATATTATGAGGTCTTTTGATGCTTTACTTCCTTGCTTCAAGGTTAAGTTCTCAGTGCAAAATTGTAGCTGATCATGACTAACTTGTGATTGCCGATCAACACTAGGAGTACAGTTGATCGCACGCGCAGGTATAGTTTTGCAACTATTTATTCATCGGGATCATTATTATGATACAGGGTATATAAAAAAACGCAACCTCGGAATTTCCTAAGAAATCACTTTGCAATTCTTAAGAATAAAATATTTTAAGCCCCGGGGAATTGAAATCGAATTGCTAAGGGACCGCTCATTATTTATTGTACAGGGGGGGACTGAGGAGAAACTCTACAGTTGTAATATTTTTTCGTTGCCCCCCTCTTAAGACAAGTAAAATTTTCAAAGCCCCCCCCCCAGGCAAAACAAGAACATAAATCCCCCCCCCCTCTAGCTCTTTATCTTTATTTAGAGAAACAAAAACTCTAGCTGTTTATTTTAGAGAAAGAAAAATAGGTAATGGGGACCAATAGACATTCCCATTATAGACTAATTTTTTATCTTAGCAAAAAAAGTATATTCCCGGGAAGGGCATACTAAAATTACTAAAATTCCAAAGTTTGGTTGCAAAATGTTGTAAAATATGTAGAAAATATAGCCTTCCAAAGTTTGCAAATTTTGTATTCTTTTGTATAATTGCAATTTTCGCATGCAATACAAAAGTGTACAAAATTTGCAAACTTTGCAAGGCTATATTTTCCGTATTTTGCAACAATTCGCAACCAAACTTTGCAATAATTTACTTATTTTAGTATGCTCTTTCTAGCTGTGGTGATTTATTTGCATCAAGGCCGGATTTTGAGGGAAGTGTGGAGAGGTGCGCACCTCCCCATAGATCGTTTTGCACCTCCCCTGAGAATTTTTCCACTTCTCTTGAAAGGTCATGCACTTCCCCTTGGGAAAGTTTCCATGATGGAACAAAGTGAAAATGTGATGGTTGCTTGTACAATAAATAATGAGCGGTCCCTAATAGATCATATTACTGTTGTTGTGCATTAAATAAATGCATAAATTTTGCTTTATGCACTCGCGTGTGCAATAGTTTTGACAGTCGGTGCTATTTTAAATTCCCAGGCGCCTAAAATCGTTTGTCTTTAAAACCATGTAGATTTCTTGGGAAATTCCGAGGTTGCGTTTTTTATATACACCCTGTATACAGGGTGTATCAAAAAAACGCAACCTCGGAATTTCCTAAGAAATCACTTTGCGATTCTTAAGCATAAAAGATTTTAGGCCCCTGGGAGTTGAAATCGAATTGCTAATAGATCATGTTACTGTTGTTGTGCATTAAATAAATGCATAAATTTTGCTTTATGCACTCGCGTGTGCAGTAATTTTGACAGTTGTGCTATTTTAAATTCCCAGGCGCTTAAAATCTTTTGTCTTTAAAACAATGTCGATTTCTTGGGAAATTTCGAGGTTGCGTTTTTTTTTATACACCCTGTACAGGGTGTATAAAAAAAAAGGAGACCTTTAGAAATCAACCATATTGTTAAAATTTGAATGCCTTTTGGCCCTTTTCAATTGCACGTATGCTGAACCGTAGTGCGTGAAATATTGATGGGGTGCATATATTAGAAAAAGGAGACCTTTAGAAATTGAAATAACGTTTAAACAAAAGACTGTCTGCTCCTGGGAACAATCTGTCATGCATAGTGCATACTGTACGTAGATCGCATGTTACGCACTCGTGGGCTTAGCAAAGTGCTCGAGGATTCAAATTAGAACAATGGTTGATTTCTAAAGGTCTCCTTTTTCTAATATATGCACTATATTTCAATATTTCACGCACCACGGTTCAGCATATGTGCAATTGCAAAGGCATTCAAATTTTAACAATATGCTTGATTTCTAAAGGTCTCCTTTTTTTTTATACACCCTGTAGAATGCCCGTCCATTTTGACACTTCGCACCTCCTTTAATCCTTTTTAATCCTTCCTCACAATAGGTGATTGATTAATGAGCTTGGCTAAAGCTCGTGGGTCAAAATATGCCGAAGGTCAGGAAATATATCTATATCACAACGAATTTTTTGTCACTTGAAGCGAGGGATATTGGAGAGCGACAAAACTTAAATACTTAATTATTATAACTTGAGTTATACAGGGTGTCTAAAAAAAAAACGCTACGGAAGTTCAACAGGCTGTCGTGCTTCATAAACGTGGCCAAAAAATTCAATTATTATATCGGGACGAAAGAGCAGTTATTTAGCTTTTCAATGATAATTAAAAAAACCAAACGTAAAAACCAAAAACCAAAAGTAAAATAAAATAAATAATAAAAATAAATAATAATAATAAATAATAAAAACCAAACGTACTTGCAGGTTCGGTGAGTCCGGGATTGGACGCACCTCGGGTGGCTGGAAGTTTCCCGAACTCACCTCGCTTCGCTCGGTAAGTTCGGGAAACTTCCAGCCACCCGTCGGTGCGTCCAATCCCGGACTCACCTCCCTGCAAGTACGTTTGTTATAGAACCCACCTGCTTACGTAAGTTTAGGAGGTGGGTTCGAGATCGATGTTTTGGCGGCGGCCATTATAAAGCGATTTGAACAAAGATTTAAATAAAAAATAAATTAACTGTTTTTAATTGTTTTATAATTATTATTTTTTTATTTTGTGTGATGAAAATGGATATTCTGTATTCAAAGTGGAAAAAAAGAAAGATGGTCGTCGATAATTGTTCTGCACGGGCAGGTTTATATAAACGAAGTGGCTATTCGTACTGGGCAATTGCTAGATAGTATACTTCAAAATAAGATTTCCGTTTTTATATCAATTTTTAAAATAAGTTAGGGTTAGTTAGGGTTTAGGTTAGGGTTAGGTTGGGGTTAGGATTAGGGCTAGTATTAGGGTTTAGTTTTGCGTTGGGATAGTTTTTTCTATGTTATAAAAACAGAAACCTTATTTTGAAGTATACTGTCTAGCAATCACCATTCGGTACTGGAATATGGCACCTGATTCTTACATTACGTAAAGTAGCAATATAAAATAGTTTTTTGCAACAGATTTTAGCGAGCTTGACGCTAGCGTATTCGAAACGAGGTCGGGTCCGTGTTTAGTTTTAGCCGTCGGTTTTCTGTTGACTCGGGATTGGACGCACCTCGGGTGGCTGGAAGTTTTCCGAACTTGCTTCACCGCGTAACTTTATAATGAGGTCAGATATGAACATGCAACATCAGTTCAACAAAATGTCCGTCTTGAATGTCAAACAATTTCAGAAAATATCCAAAAACTAAAGCAAGAAGAATTCAAGGACATTCAAGCACTTCTTTACAAATTCAAGGACATTCAAGGCCTTGAATTTTTGTTTTCAAATTCATGCAAGGACATTCAAGGACTTTCAAGTTTTGTACGAATCCTGTATTTTTTCATATAACCTAGGCGCCAAGTTGCCAACATAGCTGAAATATGTTCGTACGAAAAGTTTACATGCAATTTGGTTCATTCATTTTGTCATTGTTTCGTTAGGTTTCTGAGAGGGCTGTGATTTGCTTAAAGGTATTACGTCATCTGAAATGACACAGAAAAGGCGGATTGAATTCAGATTATTCTATTAAAATATTGACTACAAAGATACATATTGTTACATCGCTATGCCTTAATCTTTAGTCTTCATAGTCACGTTATTTATGCCATTAATATTTAATTATTAAGCAACTTGTCCTTCCATATCAACATTGATACTGCTTCTACGTACGTTAAGTACTTTGCAGTTCCAAGAAATAAGTTTTTTCTAAGCATGCTTATGTTATTGAAAAGATCATTTTTCAACTCTTCATCTTCTTGTAGGTAATTATAGCTTGTAAAAATCATAATTGAATAATTTATTATACCCTTAATCAAATCCCACCGAGTATTTTCATAAAATATCCAACAACGGTAATAAAAATGATTTCTTTACTCAGAGTTACGTTGTTGCGTATTTTAATGAAAACATTAAATCAACTCAACATAGGCGTACGGGGCTGATGCTTTCCAGGGGGCAGTTGAAAGTTTGCCCGAATTTTTATGGAGGATTGTAATGAAATTACCTGAATTTAACCTATGCCCCCCCTGCCCCCCTGTCTCGTACGCCTATGCAACTCAATAATTGTTACTTATAAATGTAGAAGATCTTTCCCCCATTGTATGATTTCTTTAGTCCCCACCAAGTTTGACACTGTTGATCCAACATCAAAACCTATTTCTTGATATTCTTTCAGTGTCCATGTATAGTTATCACACTTGAAAATAATTCCAGCGTTTGGCGTGTAGAACTTATTTCTGGCTGTAAATGGAATAAGCTGTGTTATATTTTGCAGCTTACAGCTTAAAAATTGATACACTTCTATCTCACGGATTATACATGTGTTATCTGTATAACGATCTCCCCAACCAGAAGCCAACGGGCCAATCCGGGTTCCGGTACTACATGCGCAAAATGGGGGAGCATATGGTTGATTAGCATCTGGGTAGATATACACATTATATTGTGATGTCTTGGAATGACCAAGATAATTTTTAAATCCACCATACACAAGGTAGTTATACTGGTCAGTAAAATATCCGGTACCATCATCATGATCAATTGGCCAGTAGGAATGGTAATTACTAATGATAAAATTATAAGTCATGTAATTTTCCTTTGGAACCAAAGATGAGGTCTCACCGTCTCTTACTTTTGTCAGATATAGTTGTCTATCCCAGGAATTGAATGGACCATGATCCTTAGTCTCTCTAACAAAATTGAACAACAAGTTTCTGGTAACATTATTTCCACCTCCAAATCCATCATTAAAGTTTATACCAGCTCTTGGACCATTGAAAAATACATTGCCGTTAAGTAATGTTTGACAAGCGAGAGACTGAATATAGGCTGCAGTTTGTTTACCAAATAATCCAACTTCATGAACAAGATTATTTAAAATTTTGGTTCCTCTGGGTTGATTGCCATCTGTGCCATCAATAAGTTTTGATGAACCGATAGCTGCAATTGCAGTGTCACCAATCCATAGAAATTCATTATTTGATACTACGGCATTCCGGATGTAGTTGCTGAGAAACAATGCATTTCCACCAATATTAATAAACAAACAGTTATCGACCACCACATTTTTGGCACCCTCAATAAACAATGCCCCATTACGGTGAATTGACCAATCCCCACCACTTGGTACTTCATAACTTTCCAAAAATGTTGATGATGTTTCCGCAAATGTTATATGGGAAAATGAAATGTTTTCGACTGGATTGGACAGGCTACCTTTGATGGAAATAAGTGACTCATGCTGAGATATGGTGATTTCTTCTGGTAAAGTACCATTAGGGAAATAATACAGTTGGTATGTTTCATCGTCAAAGTACCACTCACCAGCAACATCTAGTTCTTCAAAAATATTCTCAACATACCACTCAGCACCACCAATGTCCCCACGTGCCTCCTGGAAACCCCCTTTGCTCCATGTTAGGGTGTTACTTGTTGTATTTCGACCGTCAACTACAAACTGCCAGCCTCCCCAATGGTAACGCATATATGCATGAACTATGCCAGTCTCTGGTTTCTTCCATGTACTTCCAGAAATTTCTAATGACTTGTTATATACCAACCCTGATGGTACCTTGTATGTGACGCCGCCATATGGTGCTTTGGTTGCCCAGTAAGATTCTGCTGGGTCAAACTGGTATACCGAGCCATCGAGACCAAGCTGAAATATTGGGAACTGGTTATGAGCTCTATAAGGATTTTTTATCTGGATCTCAACTGCGGGAGGGGATGGTTTTGCTGGTAGCCACTTTATAGCTGAGCTTACATAACCAGTCGGTGTAGTGTGTATACCAGTGGTTTCTGGATTACCATTAGGAAACCGAGCTCTTACTGCTCTACGACCATGTATAAACAGTGAATTAAATGGTTTAATGTTAGAATCCTTAAGGTCTGTCATGTAAATAGTAATTTTCTTTCCACTGACACAATTATTTTGTGGTTCAGGGTTCCAGAGTCCATCATATCGGAAATAACACATAGATTTAAATGTGTCAGTGTTCAAGAACACATATGCAGTACATTTTTCATCCTCATTACATCCAGCAAGGCATGTCACTGATGAATTTATCTTGCCCATAAACTTGACATATTTTGAACTCTCGCCTGGCTTGAGATTGTCATAAAATATTGCATTTTGTCCAGAAGCCGATTGTGTTGTCTTTTCATACAATTTCCATTCAGGTTTAATTATTTTACCACCAGAAATAATTGCATGTACATCTCCAACAAAACTTGTCCCAGAGTCCTCAGGACCAAAGTGAAGTGTTTCTTTCAATTGATGCGCACCTTCCAGAAGAAATATCGTGCAACGTTCAGTGGTTTCGCTTCGTTTTCGACATAAATTCCTAGCCGCAACTAAACTAGCAACTGGCGTTATTTCTCTGCCGTCATTTTCATCGAATCCTTTGCTAGGATGAACAAAAACAACGTGGGATGAACGATGTATAAACGGTGTACTTCTTCGAGTTTTCACATTAAGTTCAGGTCTCGTGATGTTACAGTTTGTTTCCAGTTGTAAAGCATCAAATACGGACAGCAAATTTCCTCGCCCTGGTAGCAGTTTTTTCGAGTAGTTCCAGGCTAATTCTTTGATAGCACAGTCTACTGTTGGACTGATATTACTTGGCACGGCTTTATTCTTTTTTAAAGCAAGAATAGAAGTGGCAAAAATAGCAATACACAACACGGAAGTGATCAACTGAAACATTCTTACAGCCATGTTGTTGCAATTGTGAACAATTGTGTTCTGTATTGGTATTTGCTCATTGCCGTCATGTGCTAGTCATGTGCATAGATAGCCTGCTCGCAGGCCGTTGTCAGGCAGAGGCTGCATCACAGGGGGTCCAACTAAGAACTGTGTTATGAATACGAATAAAACATTAATTAAAAGTAATATGAATAAAACATTAAACGTAATATATTTAAATTATTGCACTTACTTGTATAAATCATAAGAGCTTGCTTTTGCACTGAATAGTTTCAAACAGAGCGCTTATACATGCTCAGAATGATTGCTTCGAACGATTGTTGGTCTTTGTTCAAATATGGCGAATAAATTGACAAAACGAAAATATTACATGACGTTCCAACGAAAATAACAGCAGGGATTGCGGGCGCGCGAGCGAAAAGGCGAGGGAAGAAATAAATAAAAGGGATGAAACAAATATCACGTGACTTTTTAAAATGCTTCTAGACTATCCGTTTAAGCTTTTTGTGGTTTTTTTAAGGCTCAGTCGATGTTCTCTTACATGAACAAGCCTAGTCATTACCAAAAAAGCACTGATCAATCTAATTTATGTGATTTATAACAGCGAGCATTCTTGGCCATTATCGCGAGATGTGTTCCATAAGTAGCCTGTTCTCGTGACGTATGACGAAATAATAATAAAACTAAATAATGTAAAAAAAAACGTTGGTCGCTACATTTAAACATTTCATATTAGCCGGTATAGCTAAACATTGTTTATTTTCATTAATTAAGCGCTTAGGCGTTGTTGGAGTTGGCAGGAGGCGTTTTGGAATTTTCCGAGAGAACAGGCTACTTATGGAACACATCACACGATCGCATTACCGGTGTTTCATCCCTTCTATTAATATCTATTGCCCTCGCCTTCCGCTCGCGCCCGCAATCCCTGCTGTTATTTTCGTTGGAACGTCATGTAATATTTTCGTTTTGTCAATTTATTCGCCATATTTGAACAATCTTTCGAAGCAATCATTCTGAGTATATATAAGCGCTCTGTTTGAAACTATTCAGTGCAAAGGCAAGCTCTTATGATTTATACAAGTAAGTGCAATAATTTAAATATATTACGTTATAATGTTTTATTCATATTACGTTTAATTAATGTTTTATTCATATTCATAACACAGCTCTTAGTTGGACCCCCTGTGGCTGCATGGGAGGAACGGCCTGCGACCTTTATTAGTAAAAAGTCGATTTATGCGTACGGAGCGTACGCAAAATTCCCATTGGTCAGAAGTGCCCCATGAGTTAATATCGTGCAAATATTTAACTCGTACGACATTTCGCAATGTAATTTTAAAGCTGGCATTCAATCAGTGGCGTATAAAACCATGACTTTGTTTATCTCTTCGAAGAAGTAACTGAATGTATTTGAGAAACCTTTCAATTTAAATTAACGTTGAAGGATGAGCGAAGGTTAGCAATATTAACTGTACTTCCAACGGGATTTGATAAAAGTTTACATGTAATATACCGGTACTTTGTCTTCGTCAGCTATAATAATAAACCTTTTCCAAAGAAGTACAAGGGAAAACTTCGACGTATGCCTTGCTGATCTTTGCAGAGAGAGTAAAATAAGTCTAGTTCAGGCTGACAATTTATCTAACCGCGTTTGCATCACTTGCGGTTTCAAACGTTGAACAACTTAAGGTTAGCCCAGCGAGACGTTCGTTGAGACACAGGCAGTGAATCAGCTAGTATAAAGCAGTTGATTGTCAAATGCCTCCGAACATTTCTCCCAAATACTTCCCTGTCAACCCAAGGCTTTCTGCTTAAACAATCTGGTCTTGAATAAGTCAAGACAATGGGCAAATTATCAAGAAACAGACGCCGTCGAGGAAAGTTGTTCTTAGAACACCTGGCCAATTTGAATTTACACCTGGAAATTTTGCAATAGTCGTTTGCGTGTTTTTTGACCGAAGTCCGCTCTCTCTTTGAGACTTTATTTTTGGGAGTCTCAACTAGTGACATATATTATTACAACAAGAGCTTTTTACAAAAAAATGTAGTTATTAAACACGGCAGAATCGATGCCACGGCCACGGGTTTTCAAATTGTCTATTGTCTATTGAGTTAATTGTATTATTGAGCAAATGACAGACTTCACGCAATAATGATTAATGTTGTTTTTTAGCCTGCTATTGTTCGACACTTTTAATAAATAGTGTTTGTTACTTTGTTCAAAACCTAAATACGTTTCCTTAAATCTTACAGTTATATTTTGGATATAAATATATAAAATACATTAACTAATAGAGAGTAAAATTTTACGTCTCTGTAGTATAGTTACATAATTTAAAACGGCAATGTACGAACAAGACAGCAATATACAAACGGGACTATGTTTTAAATATTAGAACACTTTAGGGAAAAAACGACCATGAATTATTTTAGATTAAAGTTTAGACCTTGGAATCCTAGTGAAAGATACAGGCGTAAAATTGCGCGAGAAACTGTTTGTTGTTGTTAATAACCTCTGGTAATCTAATTAACAAAACTTGCTTTGATTGGCTACTATTTACCGGATATTCAATTATCTCAAAAGGGGCGTATTGAAAAAATATCAATAAAAGTCGCAGGCTCTATATAATAGAGCCTGTGAGCAGGCTAGTGCATAGATATCTATGGTCATGTGAGGCCTGTCTTGTGGGTGGTTCTCCTCTCTCCTCTGCAGAGCCTCCTTAAGTATTTACAAATAACTTACATGAAGTTTCCTGAATAAAAGTGAGCGCGCGCGGTGTGATGGGAAGATTGAAATGAAGTTGGGGACTGGGGAGGCTCTGCGACGAAGTATGGTTTTTGAGTGTTTTGAACCAAACTAGTTGTTTGACCTTTTTTTAGACTTGAAATCGACGGAAATGTGAAAGAAATTGAAATGAATCTTCATAATCTGAGTGTCAAAGTTCAATAGAGTCATTTTTATAAAGAAATGTTGCAATTAAGAGGATATTTATAATCAGATAGCTCGTATCCATTGATATTCGTTTGCAATTTCTCAATATTTTTCGATGCAAATGGACAGAAGAAGATATTGATATTGAATTCAGCCCAGGATACTCAAGTACGCCTGAAAATGAAAGTCGAAAACATGTTTTAACACGGCAATTGCTAGATAGTATACTTCAAAATAAGGTTTCCGTTTTTATATTAATTTTTAAAATTAGTTAGGGTTAGGTTAGGGTTGGGATTAGGTTAGGGTTAGGGTTAGTATTAGGTCTATTAGGGCTAATGTTAGTATTAGGGTTAGGGTTTAGTTTTGCGTTAGAATGTTTTTTTCTACGTTATAAAAACGGAAACCTTATTTTGAAGTATACTTTCTAGCAATCACCGTTTTAACACCCCCGATGGTTGATCGAACTTCGCTACAAACAATTATATACGACGCCATATTGATTGCATTAACTCGCAGATCAGAGGCTTCCTTTATTTAGCTCTTCCCATCGCTCCTTGCTCGCTCACTTGTCTTTGCCCTCACTAGAAACTTCCTGTAAGCCTCTGCGGAGGAGAGACGGTGGTTCTCAATTCTAAGAATTCCTTAACTTCCCGGTAAAAACTCCTCAGATTTCCTTAAAGGATATTAGCAACAACAAGAAAATATTAAATATTTCTTAAAAAAAGAAATAATGTTTCGTTCCAATATAATTATAGAAATACTAGACGTCTGTAATTAGCGGTTGTCAACATAGATCACTTGTATATGTCGAGCAATGAAATCGGGCCATTTTGCGAGGCGGGCGGGCTTTGGTAATTTTTTGCACGTTTTAGTAATTTTCATTATCCCATAAATGAGCTTCAAAAACCGTTTTCATTGATCGACAGCGCTAGCCTTCCGCAATGATTTGATATGCTCACCTGCTAGATTTGATACCCACCTGCGATAAGCAATCTCATTGGCTAATGACTTTGTCGCCTTTTGTTAATGCTGCCATGTCGTCAGAGGCATGTCGTATTAGCAAAAAGAATATGTGGGGGGAAATCGAGATTCAGGCTATGTTTTCATGTCACGCAGTCACTAAACCTCAAGATGAAACCCCTTCGGTAAGATAATAGAACAGTTTATATATTTTGTAAAGTTTTGTTTATGGGACAAAAACGTTACGACACGATTTTCTTGGTTAATTTGTAAATAAACGCATTATTAATTTTGAAACATTAAAATCGCATATCTTCTCACTCCGTCCACTCCTAGATCACAGGGCCAAATGATGTCCTAAACTTAGTTTTGGAGTTAACATTGCAATTCGTCATTCTTGTCTTCGATTGGTTGATTTAAAGATGATTGACAGTAGAAAGATTACATCAGAGTCACATTTACGCTACTATTTTTAAATACCAATACGTGTCACGCCCATAGATACTACGCCATTTCCAAATTTAGATAACGAAAGCAGCCTAGAAGCTGTAAACATGTTACGGAGTTCCTATTTTTATATTACAAGAGCATACGGAAACGAGAGTGCAATTATATAATTATGCCTATAATTAATATATACATATTTCTTCGTTTTTAATTTTTCGCATAAAGTATTTGGCCAAGCGCAGTATGTTATCTGGCCTCGTATTTATTCTTAGCTTGGTCAAACTGTTCCCGCAGTCCCAAAAAGACTAAACTCAAGAGTAAGGGCCAGGCTTAGATGAATTAAAGGCCAACCAAGAGCCTTTTATTCTGTCTAAAATCTAGGACACCACGTCGTCACTCAAAGCGGATAGAACTTCGCTTGACAAGTTGACATACTTAATTAACTAAGATTCCGAATTATACGCCACGCCTCCAAAAATCTTCTTATGCTAGGAGCGGTCATCTCATTGGACGATTCTAAATGTAATTGACGTTTCAGTAAGAACACTGGCAAAGGATTGGATAACTTTGATATCTGACGTCACTTTCCTGTGACATTGCTCGAAATCAAATACAGTACCGTTTCGTTCCTGCGGGGAACGAAACAAAAAATTTTATTGCTTCATTCGAATAAAGAGCATGAAAAAAGCCGATTGGCCGTTTACAGTAATGCTCTATTCTATCTCATCTATTTCCAAAGTTATACGCAAAAATGTGCAAATTATAAGTTGCTGATTCAGCACAACGTGTGACGTCATTAATTGGGTACGGTATGTTTAATGAATAATAAACTGAAGCATAGCTCAGTTATAATAATAATAATAATAATAATAATATTTAATATTTATATTGCGCAAATTAACATGTTATAGTATATGATCAAATGCGCATCACAAAACATAATTACACTAAAATTATTCTATACTGAATGGTTACTAACTAAAAATATAAAGAAGATTATATAAATTATATGTTACATGAAGTATTTACATTAAAGGCTTCTTCAAAATAATAAGTCTTAACTAATTTCTTGAAAATACTAAAGTTATGCAGATTTCTATAGGTAATTCATTCCAGATTTTTGGAGCGGAGGTTACAAATGCTCTGTCGCCGAGTGTTTTCTTTATTTTTGTACAGTAGTCTTCAAGCAATGTGCCTACAATCCTGGACAAAAATAGTGGCAAAAACCAGTTTATTGCTTCAAAATATAATTTTAAGACATTTTTGACCCATTGATCCCCCCTTCCCCCAATATCAATGTTTTGCCAAGTTATCTGGTCTCGAATACATCCATCAACATTGACATTAGGGGAAGGGGGTGAAATTCGATGAATTTTCTTAGTTTTTAGCCTTTTGCCAATAATTTATGTCCAGGATTCAATCCTGGACAAAAATAGTGGCAAAAACCAGTTTATTGCTTCAAAATATAATTTTAAGACATTTTTGACCCTGCATTGATCCCCCTTCCCCCAATATCAATGTTTTGCCAAGTTATCTGGCCTCGAATACATCCATCAACGTTGATATTAGGGGAAGGGGGGTGAAATTTGATGAATTTTCTTAGTTTTTAGCCTTTTGCCAATAATTTATGTCCAGGATTATAGTTATTATGGGCCCAAATCAAATGAAATTTTGCATACTGATTGTACATGATGAGACGCATCAATCTCGTTCCCTGAGCCTGCGATCCTTGGGAAGGAACCGAAGGATCGCAGGCTCAGGGAACAAGATTGGAGACGCATTGAAAAACACTTCTAATTTTGTTGCCAAGGTAACAATGCCGTTCCCAGGCCCCTTGCGCCAATTTTATAAAACAGCTTTATTCATGGTACTTATAAAAATAAACTAATATCAGAAGTATGTGTACCATACCTATGCATGCCGAAAGGAGTTTACTTGCATGATAATAATTCGAAAATGACATACACATAGATAAATGCAACTAGTTATAATAAAATCAGTGTAAGGGGCCTGCCGCCTGGGAACGACTGTTGCTTTGACAACAAAATTAGAAGTATTAATTTTCCCATGCGTCTCATCATGTACTATCTGTATGCAAAATTTCATTTGATTTGAGTCAATAATAACTGAGCTAGCTATGCTTCAGTTTACTATTCAATAAACATACTTACCCAACTAATGACGTCGTCACACGTTGTGCTGAATCAGCAATTTATATTTTGCACATTTTTGCGTATAACTTCGGAACCAGACGAGATAGAATAGAGCAGTAAACGGCCAATCGGCTTATTTCTTCATGCTCTTTCATATAAAGCAATAAAAAAAATTATTGCCAATACCCTTTAAAGTAGAGATCTAGAGCCTTAGGCTTAAGGCGGATTTCCAGTCCTCGCACGAAGCTCCTCGCAACTCGCTGCATGAGAGTGCTTGCATCCAAATAAAATTAACTGTTTGGTAAAAATTAGCATTGTGATTAGATGAAAGTGCTCATGCATCACTCGCAGCGAGCTGCGAGGAGCTTCGTGCGAGGACTGGAAATCCGCCTTTAGACTATCTTGGCAAAGTATATTCCCGGAAAGAGCATACTAAAATTAATAAAATGCAAAGTTTGGTTGCGAAATGTTGTAAAATGCGGAAAATACAGCCTTGCAAAGTTCGTAAAATTTGTATACTTTTGTATTGCGTGCGGAAAGTGCTACCACATTTGGGCCGAAAATGTCCGCAATTGATTCCGCACGCAATCAAAAGTATACAAAATTTACAAATTTTGCAAGGCTATATTTTCCGCATTTTACAAAATTTCGCAATCGAATTTGCAATTTTACTCATTTTACTGTGCTCTTTCTAGCAGTGATGATTTATTTGCATCTCCTTGCCTAGTTTTAAAATTAGTCTATAATGGAACTTGTCTACTGAGATCAGAGAGCAGTGTCGTCAAAAGGATTTTCATATTGGTCAAGGGATATCGTCCTTAGAAAATGATTGCAGTTCTGACTGCAAGACTGCAGTTACTGCGTTTTTTTGAAAAGCAGTTTGAACAGCTAAATGAACTCATTTTTTAAATACAGTTATTTCAAATATGCGGCATTCTTCTGAAGATGACTTAAATTAACAGTCGAAACGTAAAGAATGAAAACGTTTACAATTTTCGGACTGTAAATTAATTGTTTTGTGTTTTATTAAAATACTCTATGACTATGTCTATGGCAACCGCAATTTTTTTAATGAGGAAGTAGAATTTCGTTAAGTATGTTCGGGATTCGTTCGAGTGAGCCGAAAACTGCGGCTGTTTAAAATAGATTTCAAAAACTCATTAATAATTCATAAGCTTATTGACAAATCATGTCAACCATAATATGTCACGTGCAGTGGCTTTAAATCTGATAAAACACTCCTAATTAGTATTCTTTATATAAAGAATACTAATAAGGCAATATCTATTGTAATCGTGTCCTCATTAGTATTCTTTATATAAAGAATACTAATAATTAAGCCAATATATCTATTGAATTTGTAGTCGTGTTTGAAGTCGTTTAATAAACTCGTAGGTCGTGTTTTATTAGGTCTAAAGCCACTCGCGCTGCGCGCTCGTGACTTTGAACCTAATAAAACACTCCTGCTCGTTTATTAAACGCTACTTTTGATTTTTAAAAACACACTGTTTAAAATAGATTTTAAAAACACGTCGTCAACGACATCATCAGAGGATGATGTCGTTGACGACGAAAGTTTAGATACTTAAGCCTGGTTTCCATTTGGTCGTTAGTTGTCGCTGGCACGACAAGCGGTAGATCTGAAATAGTCTAATATCAATAGTCTTTTTGTGTGTTACATGCAAATCAGTCTTAATGATTGCAGAGTTTTACAAAGTTTTGTTGACACTCTATTACATCAGCCACTTGTCGTGCCAGCGACAACTAACGACCAAATGGAAACTAGGCTTTATCGACAATAAAGACCTTTTTAAAAGTGTTTTTAAAATCCATTTTAAACAGCCGCAGTTTTGGCCTCACTCGAACGAACCCGGAACATACTTATCTATAATATGCTGCTGAAGGACAACTTTAAACGCTAGAATTTCGTTGTATCTTGCTATCTTTTTCTTGCTCAAGAGTGTTCGAGAAAACCTTTTTGTTTCATATTTCCTAAAACTACTGTGTTCATAAAAATCTTCAGCTGAAATTTGTCTTCTGTAAAATGGTATGCGTATTATTGAAGATCCTCGGTTAAAACATTTTAGACTACAAAGTACGTGATCATACCATATTTTTTCTCCTCACCTCCTTGATTTTCCCAAGCCATTCTGCTATTCTACGTTTGTTGCACCAATCAGGTTTAAGTGAAGACTTTGTTGGAAGATTACCGTGAAGTAATTGTTTACAAACCTTGCAATATACTGTGTTGGAAGATTCCCATTGATGAAGAATCGATGTTGCGTTGTAAGTAGCAGGAAATTTAAACCCTTCGTATTTCCATCTTAAATATATATTATATTCTCGTTCGTTTCTACTTAGATATACTAGATGCATTGCAAGATCCCTTGGTGTTTTAAAATCCCTTACTTTGATAACGGATGTATTAAGATTACCAGGTAAAAGCATGTCTATTTTCTCAGTTCCCATAAACACAGGCACGGATCCTGAGTTTAAAGCGTGCGTTAATTGATCATCTACAAAGTAGTCACAATCAGCGTTCATAAATACCAGAGTAAACTTATAGTACTTGGATAATTCTGTTTTCCTGCGTTTAAAATCTTTTGTATATCGTTGTGGTAAACCATTCTTATTTCGTAAACAAGCACCGTAAGAATCCACTGGGATGAACTTCATTAATTCTGCGAGGTACGCAGTGCGGACTTCTTCACAATGTGAGAACGCTGCAAACACTAGTTTAGATTTTTCTTTGAAAGGAAGAGGAGTGGTTAAATCTGGTTTTCTGAATAGCGACATGGGGAAATCAGCGTCAAGTCTGTAGCTGATGAGATATTTAAAGTGAGAAAGAAATAACGGATTCTTTAATAAATCAGTATAAACTGGATTTTCGTTTGTATGAAGGATAAAAGGAATGTGGGAAAATTTATCTGGTGGAAATGGACTTGTATCTCTAGCGTGAATAATAATTGCATCAACTTCCACTGCTTGAGATCTGTTTACAGTCAGTTCACAAAGAGAACTACATTGATCATTTACATGGAAATACGGTAGTTTACTTAAATCGTTGACTCGTACTGGATTACCAAACACCGTAGACCAATACAATAGTTTCATACGCTTTTTATTCCTAGTTGTTTCTACTTGAAATTCGCTCAAGCGTTTTTTATTTGATTTGCTTAACGAAGCTTGTCTTTTTTGTTTGATCACATTTACTGCAAGAATGGTCAACAACAACAAGAAATATACATGTTTTCTACTATGTTCACGGCGAAGTATAAATCGGATAACCATTAATGATAAGCACGAATACTCTTCAAAGTTATGTTCAACGTTCGATAATTCTTGGCTCTAACTTTTACTGCAAAAGAAGAAAAATATAGAAATCGTCGGTCGAGGAAGGTTAAAGCGAGTATAGAATCTTGCGGTTACTACGTATATACACAGTTGGAGGTTTTGTTAGGTATTAAAATGTCCTGTATCAGTTAGCACTAGGTTCCACTTGTTTCCCAGGCTAATTCGTTTCATTCCCTCATAGCTGGAACTGGCACTAAACTTCAACGTCGATCATCAGATTTCTTCTTGTTTGCATCTACCGTCCGATTATAGAACACGAGGCTGGCAATCCGTTATAATTATTAAAATCCCATTATTAAGCAATATACTCTATAACGCATACTGATTTGAAAATATTAATTCACTGTATAAATCATTCTATAACAAAATTCGATTTTTACCTGACAAGATCAATTCAATGCTTGATTGCAAAATATTATTGCTATATCGTGTTCTCACGGTATTATACCCACCAGTGAAGCGGAACATTGTAAAAATAATAAACATTCGGTTATAAGGCAGTTTTTACAATTACGCTTCGCGCAGAATCTTCGCGATTTTTATTATCGATTTAATTATTTTATTCCGAATATGCTTATCCATATATATATATATATATATATATATATATATATATATATATATATATATATATATATATATATATATATATATATATATATATATATATACAGGGTGTATAAAAAAAACTGAACAGATTTGAAATTGCTCTCAATTTCGCAAAACAAAAGTAAAAAGCTTCTTTGGGCACTTATAATGTAGAATAATGAAAAAAAAATTTCAAACTCAAATTTTGTAAACCAGGGAGGTGTGTCTTTTCCAACAAAATAAAAATGGCTTGCGCACGAGATTTAAAAGCTTCAATCGTATTTTGAGTTAATGGTGAAACATGTGTTGGGTGTTTAATTGCTGCCGAAATTCAGACACGCAAACTTCTATTCACGCAAACTTACATTTTTTCCTAAAAAATCCGCCTTTTGCATGCTTAAATTAATTAATGCCTTTGTTTTTGCATAGGTCAGCAATATGCAAATTAGGTAAAGGCATAATTAAGCATGCGAAAGGCTGATTTTTTAGGGGAAAAATGAGTAGTTAAGAGGCCTAAACTGAAGCAAATTGTCTGGAATTTTGTACAGTAATTAAAAACCGAACAAATGTTCCATCTATATTAACTCAAAATACGATTAGAGCTTTTAAATTTCGTGCGCAAGCCATTTTTGATTTGTTGGAAAAAATACCACCCCCCCCCCCCTGCTTCACAAAATTTGAGTTCGAGAAATTTGTTTCATTCTTCCACCTTATATAAGTACCCAAAGACGCTATATACTTCTCAAATTCATTAATAATTGATGATGTAATTCTGCAGCCAATGATAATCATCTATTTGATCACAAGATGCCATTTGGATACTTGATGAAAGTCACTATAGTGTTTTCATCAAATATCTTAATTACGCATGCAAAATTACTTGAATAGAATTCCTAATTACGTTATGCTTGGTTAAGAATTCTATTCAAATCAGCAAACGAAAACATTCTGTTACGTCTCGATTCATTTGAGAAGCCATATAAACAACTCGAGCTTGTGCATGTCTCACCGGGATATCCAAACACTCGAAAACAATGTATGAAAACATTCGCGCTTCGCGCTCGTGTTTTCATACATTGTTTTCTCGTGTTTGGATATCCCGGTGAAACACTCGCTCTCGTTGTTCATATATTACATCAAAAACTGGATACTAATGGCTGTTTTGCGAAATTGAGAGCAATTTCAAATCTGTTCAGTTTTTTTATATACACCCTGTAGTTTGTATTATCGGATAATTCAATATAGACTTATCCGTATTGATGTTTTTCAGTAAACAAACTGCGATTCTCCGTATAAAAGTAAGTCAAGTGTTCAAACTATGTACTCATGCAGGATGGGATTGATACAGCCCAATAAACTAAGTTGATGTATCAGAAAAACTTTATTTTGTCAGGGTAGCCTACTCAGTATACGAGTGAAAAGTCAGCAACAAAATCTTGATATTTACACATAACCACTCAGTATACACTGTTATCCTTATAGGAGCACTGATGCATATGAGATTCGACGAGTCGGTTTGCATGTCTGCTAAACTCTAGGTTGTCTATTTCAGGACAGGGAATTCAGTTTTTTCATCGCTTCTAACAGAGACCGCGGAAGCATTTCGAAAGTGGAGCGGCATTGGCCAAAAGGGGCACTTTTGTATATGGCCAAAATCAAACGAAAATATGGAGTCTTTCTAACATCGGAAATGGCCTTTACATAGTCTTTACTATACTTCAAGAACGGCAGGAAATTACTTTTTTCGTTCGTTAGATGGGGCACTTTAGCCCAGAAAAAAGAGCAGTTTACAAAGAAAGTAGAATATATTATGCCCGTGATTTCTGAACATGCATTTTAGAGTAGATGTTTACGATTTTTTGACAAAACAGACTTACCGGCGAAATGGAACAATCGACGGATACAAGAAGAAGCAAATGAAGCAAAGTGAGTAATTTCATTAACTCTTCAGACTAGTCGAAATGCTTTTCTAAATTAGACTAACAAATGCGAAACAGCATGGGCTAAAACTTTTTATAAATTGAAAATCCCAACCATAGGAGCCCAAAGATACGTGTAGAACTGCACCAAATGTCAATTTATAAATAAGCTCGCCCCATTCCTCTGATATTTGTCACGCGCTGCAAGCACTCAATGAAAAGCATTGTAAAATCAGAGAAATGGGGCGTGCTTATTTACAAATTGACATTTGGTGAAGTTCTACACGTATTTTTGGATTGCCTATATATGTCCCAACTCAACATTTAACTAGACAACAGGCATGTTGTAAATGGACGAGTCCGTGTTTTACAAATCGCGAAATTAAGCCCTGGGCAAACTAGGAAACATTGTTGCGGAAACATTGTTTCCTACCAATGTTTCGCCATGTTTCCTAGAGTGGGCAAACACTAGGAAACATCAGTGAGAAACATAGGGAAACATCAACGGTTTCTGAATTTGGTAGGAAACATTTTTGCTTCCCGGGAAGCAAATTTTGTTTCGGCAACAATGTTTCCACGGGTGGGCAAACATGGAAACATTTGAGGGAACATTGAGAATCACAAATGTTTCCTAGTTTGCCCATGGCTTTGGTCAGCTTTTTAGAAAATGTTGACTCAGTTCATGTTTCCCGTGTCCAGTGCAGTCCATGTTTTTTTTTCTATATGCCTGAAATACAAACCATACATAATTTAACTACAACAGTATGTCCACGATAGTACATTAGACTGATTAATATAGTAAATTTTCTTCCTGTGAATCGTCACTATTACTGTTAGTATATATCATGTATAATGTATTATATAATAATGTTTTAATTGTCAAAAGTAAGAGCTAATACATGAATTAAGTGCCTAAATATATACTAAACACTAATATATATATATATATATATATATATATATATATATATATATATATATATATATATATATATATATATATATATATATATATATATATATATATATATATATAT